TTTTGATTCGCCCATTCGAAAATATACAGCAGCCATTCGTCTACTGGGTGGGCCGAGTGGGCGCCGCTCACCCAAAATTTCGATTCGCCCACTCGGGAAACGAAACCTAGATGAAACACTGAACGGGGCCTTATACTATTATCAAAAATTTTTGTTTGTGGCAGTACTAGAGCCCATCGGGTCCAAGAATTTGTGGACCCGGACCCGGCTGATTAAAACTTTTTGGGCTCGGACTCGACCCGGATCCGCTCAATTTAATTTTTCTGGGCCCGGACCCGGTCGATCAAGATACACAATGAATTTTTTCTAAAGAAGAAACTTGTCCACTTAATAAACAATTATGACAAGCCAATCACATTTTATAAACCAAACAAATGTCATAATTTTTTATAAATAAATTAAGGTTTTTTGAATAAAATGATCAAAAATTTAAAACTCGTAAAATATCATTATATTCATCAAAAGATTTTTTTGATTCGAACTCAATGAACGAAAATTTTCAGACCCGGACCCGATGGGCTCTAGGCAGCGCCTGAACTTTGTCTGTTCATAGCGGCGTCGGCGGCTCAGTCGATCGACTTACATCTCTGACTATGTCCATTTTTTTTTGGAGTCCCGATTCAGTCGCAATGGAAACAATCTTATACATATCAACTCAGAAGAGATGTGTTCGGAAATTATCAATGTATGAGAAAGTTAGTTCTAGGAAAATTCTGAAATCTGTAAATAGTAACTATAAATGCATTATAGTATTTTATTGAAAATGTTTTTTTGATTTACTTGATTTTTCTATAAACGCTAAGAAATTTCTTATAGTTTTGAGCATATATTTCTATATTCTTATAGATTTTTGAACTTCATTTATCTGTATGAAAACCTACAAAATTTACATAATTACTTGGATTTAGAATACATGACTTATGACAATATGTCATTCGACATAGGTTTTACATGACAAAAAAACAAAGATTTAGTCTCGATTAGAACCCGTCCTGAAAGTTTTCTATTAATCGAATGGGTTATAGTTCTCATTGCGCCAGA